AAATTATTACTGATTTGATTTTTAATATGTTAAAAATAATCAGTCCAAATTTTCAATTTTAACCTATTTTTTTGGTTCTTTAAAGTTGATGAAAAATTTTTGATAAAGATTTATGAAAGTTTATAGTAAAATAAATTGAATATATTACCATAACTTTTAGCTCAATTACAAGTTTAAAATTGACATCTAGGCCAGTCAACAAAGGAAAAATTGCCGAAAAAATTTTGTTTTTTTAAAAGTTGAATTAAAATATGTATAATGACATACTAATAGTCCTCAAGATTGGAATTGGGCTTTTTTTTTACAGCCTCGCAAAAGTCCAAAATATGAGCTTTTTTAATTTTCTCAAAAAATATTTAACTTACAAAAAAAAGTTTCGTACAAAAGTTGTTTAAAAGACAATTATAAACAAAAAAAAAATATCGTAGATTTTTTCATTTAAACAAATATTTTTCGAGTTACATTACATTTAATATAAGTACTAAAATTTATATTCCATTTTTTTCAATTAATAAATCGCACAAAATGATATGTATACTAATATTAGCTTCGATACAAAGCTGAGAGGTATTAATTTTACCATGATGTGTTTTTTTTTTGTGTCTATTACCACTTTCTCAGGTCTCGCTGGACCGATTTTAATAAACAATATGTTAAAAGATCATAAATCGTATCTAATCGAAGACATTACCCTTAAAAATTGAAAAAAAATCCTTCGTTCCCCGTAAACGGGGGATATCTCCAAAAAAATTACAAATTTTCAAATCGGTAAATTTTGTCATTTTTTTTCACTTTTTTCTTAAAACTACCATAACTCTTTTTAAAATTAACAAACAACTTAATTATTTTTTTTATTGAACCTTAGATATTTTCCTTTCATTCGATATCATTTTTTTGAAAATTTAACACTTAATTTACTCATAGGGAGGGATTTAAAATAGAAACTTTTTTACAAAAATTAACTTTTTCAACTTAACTTTTGAAATTGTTCGCAAATACTGCATCTTTTAAATGTATATCAAATTAAAACTTATGTTATGTACTATAAGTTCAAAAAAAAAATTCGTCCCGACGACTTATGTTCTATGTGAAAACGGTTGCTGTAGTTAAAAAAATGCTATTTTTATGTTAAAATTTTCGATTTAAATTTTCCACTTTAAATTACAATAAATTTTTGAATAATATATGTATCAACTCAAATTTTTTTTTTTAAATATATTATATATATCTCTTTCATTTAACATACTCTTTATTTAAATTGGAAAATTTTCCTTTATACAGGAGGTTCAAAACTTGAAAAATACGTATATAAAAAACTTATCTTTTGAAAATGTTACGGATGTACTTTAAACATATGTCAAATTAAATATTACAATAAATACTTAAAGTTCAAAAAAAAAACCAACCCAGCACAGCGGGGTCGAGGCATAGTGAAGACTTTGCATAGTTGGGTCCAGTGTAGATTTAATCTGACAGTAATTAAAGAAACGTTTCGATGCAAATCTGTGGATAGTGTTTAATTTAAAAAAATTGATGAATTATTCCAAAAGCTACATGATCTGCTATTTTCTTATTTATAATCTGATTAAGACAAAGTATGTCGAATGAACAAGGGATATAAATACTATTTCTCATAAAAAAATTGTGTTGATTCATACATTTTTTAAAAAGTTATAGCATTATAAAGTTATAAATATAAAAAAGAATTTTTTTACAAAAATTGTATCTTTTTTATTAATTTTGATGTTTGTTTTCACCGTGAAGACAAAATAAAATAATGTGTTAAAAGTATTCATTTTAAACCTACTTTTTATTGTCCTTTAAAGTGAAAGTTTTAATAAAAAAAAAAAAAAATGAATTTATTACCATAACATTTAGCTCAACTTGCAAGTTTAAAATTAACATTATTAAATATAAAAAAATGAAATTGTTAAGATTAATATGCAATCAGGGAATTTTATAATTACTATTTACAGTACATTTATCAGAAAAGTTAGACTTTTTACATTTTTATCGTAATAGATCACTTAAATAAAAATCATAGTAATCATTTCTAATTCACTTTTGGTGTTTAAAAAGATTCTACAATGGAAATATTCAGAATTTAATTAATTTTAATGATTATATATCTAAAAAAACCAATAAAAAAAAGTTGTTGAAAAGATTTACTCAATTGAGCGTATTATAAAATTTGATTATAATTATAAAAATCTATTGTTAAATTCAGGTGAAACTAAAAATCATTTTTTTTTTAATTTATGATTTATATAGCAACATGTTATCAAAAAATTTGGAATATTATAGACTGTTACTAAACACACACGAGTTAAAAAATTAATTAATTACAAAGTAATTACTTTTGCAGTTGAATATTTTTATCATATCAAATCTAATTCGACAATTAATACATTAAAAATATTAGAAATGAATCATTTTAATTGTTTGTATGGAAAAAGCTGGTTAAGCTACTTTTTATTTGAATAAGGAATATTTTTCAATTTTTGAGGGTAATATCTTCAACTAAATATGAATTGTAATCATTTGACATATCGTTGAAAAAAGTAGGTTAATTGAGGGTTGGAAAAATAAATCGCAGCCACAAAAAGAAACACATAGTAAAATAATATTAACATGAATAAGAAATTTCTTCTCATGAGGGGAGACTACAGTAATAGGATTCTTGATATTTATTGAAGTTAATGAATTTAAATCAGATAAAAATCAAATAATTTGAAAAATTTTTAAAAAATGCAAAATATTAATGTCACAGGTGGATCGAACCTGGTACCTTATCGTGAAAGATACAAGTGTTACCGATTTGGCAACTGTTCGTCGCTTAATAAAATAAGCAGTTTAACTTCTTATGTGTTATAAAC